CGAATGCCAACTGCATGGGAAAGAAATGGTGTCTTACGTCATACTTCTCTGCTCTGTTCCTGAAACTGATAGGCAAGCTGATAATTGTTGGAGCCACGTTTTCGGACTTTAAACATTTAGCAACCCGTGGGTAATACCTGTAGCCTAGAACAATTTTTGGTCGTATGTTTAGGACGGATTTGAGTGAACCGACATTGTGCTTCGAGCCTTCAGGGTACAAATAACTTGTTGGTCGCAAACTGCACGGCAGTATGTTTGAGGGAGATTCTGAGTGATAAGAACGGGTTACGTCATAGAGAATGAATCAGTCAAAACAGCAGCTTAGCCTACATAATTGTTAAACCTGAATCGCTTTAAAAAAAATCTGTAGACGATAGAATTGATAATGTAAAATATTCACAATATTTATGTAAATATAATTTATCTTGTCTGCAGCGTTTAATATATGACAATTAGCACATTATTATTACTATATTTTTCTATATTTGTCACCTGTACATAATACATTACTTAGACCGAACATCTGCCTCTATTCCAGTCTCTGATAGCTATTTTGAACGGTGTCGGCTGGTGTAGCCGATAACTGTCAGAATATCTATCAGAGACTGGAATACAGACAGATGTTTCGGACTATATATTACTATGATTCAATATTATTTTAATTACTACTACATGGTTGTACAATTAAATTTAATTGTTGGCTTTATCAACAGTGACTCAAATTTAATTGTCTGTTTATAAACAGTCTAGTTTTAGTCTATTTGAAAATAGAATTTATGTAGGTTTCTGGCTGTTGTGATTCGGGTATTAGTCAAAACCAACCATCATCCAGTCAAAAACCATCATCATGTAGTCAAAAACAACCATCAGCCAGTCAAAAACAACCGTCGTCTAGTCAAAAAAAACCATCATGTAGTTAAATATAACCATCATGTAGTCAAAAACAACCATCATGTAGTCAAAAACAACCATCATGTAATCAAAAACAACCATCATCCAGTCGAAAACAACCATCATCTAGTCAAAAACAACCATCATCCAGTCAAAAACAACCACCATGTAGTCAAAAACAACAATCATGTAGTCAAAAACAACCATAATCTAGTCAAAAAAAACAACCATCATCCAGTCAAAAACAACCATCATCTAGCCAAAAACTACCATCATCCAGTCAAGAACAACCACCATTTAGTCTAAAAACAACCAAAAATCTAGCCAAAAAAAAAAAAACAATATCTAGTCAAAAACTACCATCTTCCAGTCAAAAACAACCTTCATCTAGTCACAGATAACCATCAGCCAGTCAAAAAAAAAAAAAATCATCAAGTCAAAAACAATCACTATTTAGTCAAAAACAACCATCATCTAGTCAAAAAAACAACCATCATCCAGTCAAAACAACCATCATCCAGCCAAGAACAACAACCATCATTCAGTCAAAAATAACCACCATTCAGTCAAATCCAGTCAAAAACAACAACCATAAAAATCAATTCCGAACCCTTATGACCAGCCCATGATTGCTATCAGAAGCGGAGTCAGAAACAACACCTCAACAGATGCTTCGGATTAAAATATTTGTAGGGCTTTGATTTTGATTGTAGATGTAGCGATTTTGGTCGCCTGATAAGGATGGCTTTGAATGAACCGCCAATATAAAATGTTCCAACACTTTCAGTGTATATGTGTGCAAGTTGGGTGTCAAAATGTAAGACAGTTAGATTATGGGAGTTACTAAGTGCAACTCAAATTGGTTCGTTGCGTATAGTTCCATTAGTTAGCAAAAACTAGTGTAGTTTGCAACTGGGGAAAATTATCAAGGTCAGCCTACTCTTTTGAAATTTCAGGAATCTTTGATAACATGTGAATCGGGTTGAACAATTTGCTGGTATCGTATGGACTCATGCCGGAATTAAATTCTATTCTCGAATCACCCGAACATCAGTCTAATTAAATTAGACCAAAGTTTCAATCATATTACAGTAAGCAGGTAAACCCACAGCCCATGTGCAGTCGGTAGAAACTATCTTGAAAATGACGTGTAACAAGTTCGTAAACTGCAGGATGCAAGATAGAAATAATGGCGTGTAACGACTTCGTAAACTGTAGGACGCAAGATTGATTTCTGTTTTCCAATATCCACAATAATTGATATATAGAAGTCTAGTTTGTATTAGTGTATTGCAGTCGTTTATCATTCCATTCCATTCGACATACTCAGTACGCTAATATCAGTTTTTATAGTTAACCTAAAGTCGTATTTCTTATGAAGCCATTCAGTGACGTACATGTTAGATTCAAATTAGTCTTGGGTGATGAAAAGTGTAATCATTTTTCTTAGACGTTCCTGAAAAGGTCGAAGTTTGAGAAATGGTTCTAAAAAGTGAAGTTCATGCCTCACTACATTTTCTTTATAAGCTATTATAAACTGGAGACACTGACGTGGTCGGCAAAATGATAGACCATTAAAATCTCAGCTTCCATTTTGGTCGAGAGTCTAACTTGTTTCCATCAATATGCAATAGGGAAAGAACTGAAGCGTAATGAAGATTCATGGCTCTAAAGCGAGTTGAATTTGAAGACTTATATCAATTTTGTTTAATGTCCATATTAAATAAAAGCCAAGTTAAAATGAAGATAAAAGAACCATTGAAGTGAAAGTGGGGTATAAAATATAATATCCCTATTTAATAACTAACCATCTTCCAGCGATAATATTAATCCATGCTAAGAATTTAAAAGAGGGCTTTAATCGATTTCTGTGGTTTACGGTGGAAAATGAAAGTAAGCCAACTCGTCTGAGATTTGAAGAGATTATTTGAAACCGCCAGACCAAATTTCATACTAACTGAACTGATTTAACGTTTTCAGAATTATCCGGATCGCTCTTAATCAAAGCTATATATTATTTTAATGCATTTATGGATTTTTTTAAATATTCGAGATACCTCTAGGATAGGCATTGATTGACGTAATAAACCGATTTTCTTGTTATTTTGAAATAGATGCCTTTCATAATTTTTCAAATTTAAGATTATAAGATCGAAAGTTTATATTGCAAAAGAAAATTAATAATAAAAAAAAGCGAAAGGAAATTATAAAGAAATAAAAAATGTAAATAACCAATGTATACTAATTTTATGTATTTTAGGCGTTTTAGCATACCTGTCATACATGTAATTAAAGCATAAGATAGTCTTGTCTGGTCTCGACTGTTTCCTGGCGTCTAGTTATTGGCGTGTTGTTCGGCTTTCTGGAATAAATATGCATATAATCACCTTTATTTAATGTGGAATAAAACGCCAATGTATTCTAATTTTATGTATTTTAAGCGTTTCAGTATACTTGTAATAATACATGTAATTATAGCGTATGATAGCCTCACCTATCCGACGTCTGTTTATTGTCGTAATGCGTGTCTTTCTGGAATAAATATGCATATAATGACCTTTACTAGTGAATAAAACGCCAATGTCTTATATTCTTTTATTTTGAGGCGTTTTAGCATAGTTATAATACTGTCATTATAACATGGTTCGACTATCGGACGTCAGCTTAATGTCGTGATGCTTGGCGTTCTGAAATGCATGCATGACTATGCATAGCTTGGAGATAATGTAAAGACAATAACAGATTTAATGAGTACCGGATACCACAACTTACTGGTATTCGAAATTCCACATTACAGTTAATCTCTCTAGTCGTTCTACTTTGGAATAAGTAGTGTTATCAGAAAATCAAATTTTCATGAAAATTGGGGACGAAAAGACGAATTAACCTAGATTTCGCCCACTTGTCTGGCAATTGACTAGATTCCAAACTTTCTGATTAAGTTCTCTCGATTCTTTACAATATTGAGATCAATCTGCTAGTTAAATTGAGTTATTCTAAAAGAGATGATCGGAAGATCCCAATATTGGCTCAATAACGAAATAAACATAACGTAATACCAGATAAGCAGATTGCTCTCAACTTCCTGGTTGATGGACTCAAGGTTTCAGGACGAAATAAGCAACAGCTCCATGTGGTCTAATAAGTCAGTTAAAAGTATTAATTAGTATAGTCGATCAAATATATAAGACCCCTCGAAAAGCGTAGGCGAATGCTACTGCCATAGCAAAGTTTTCCTTATTTACTTATTGTGGCCTGTTTGTTAATGCTAGTCTTCATTAGTTCAACCAGGTGCAAAAAAATAGAAGGCAAACACCATTGCACTTTATTTATTACAGCTGGAAGTCTGGAAAAGCACTAATAATACAGAGTTCATCGCCTGACTAAAGCTACTATTCCATCTACACCAACGGGAAAACACAATATGGCGAGACGGCTATTTCCCAGACTTCTGGAATTCCATGTATTGTAGAGATAACCTATATCAGATAACATTATTGATATAAATTAAATTGTTGGGGAAGAATTGGCATGTTCAGAAATGTAATTGAACCATGATGAATAAAAACAATCAACAATCTAGAGACAGAGACATGATCAATAACAATAATTTGATATACTATATCAATTAAAATAACAATTAAAAACCTGTTATTCAAGTTGAAATGAACCAGTGTAGGATGGTTATCGAGTATTTGTTCACTACGCAAACTTCGGAATGACATACCTTTCAAAGCCTTCATTAAAACAAAAGCCAACAAGCCGTTATAGTAAACCGACACATACCTTTCCAAACTATGATTAAAACCACGGACGGGTAAAGAAAAAAAAAACTTGCTCGTATGCAAAATCAACCAAAGTTTTGTTTATCATTTTTGATAAAGTTAAATATGAACCTACTTAACCTATTAATACCAAAATATTGATAATTGATCATTCTTCTAGTGTGGTAAGAAGTAATGGGTCATCCTCTTGGTACTCATGTACTGTCAGAATGTGTATGGAGAAATCGCACATCTATACCGTAGTCTGGACAGAATTTTCGTACCCTATACATTCAAACATCGTACACAAATTTTACTCAGGGACTTTCAATAGCATCTAAGAACATGGAGTTTAAAAATTTGAAAATGATAGTATTTAGAGAAAGTTTCGTAAGATAAGATATTTGTGTCTCGTCTTTGTTTATTGGAATCGTTTATTGATATTATCGCTTTTCTACTAACCAATTGTTTATCTTACGTCTTCGTTTTATTTCTATAAGAAAACTTTTCGAGGATAAAATTCACACACCAGGGCACAAATGGAATAAATGTAAATTGATCGAGTTGTGATGAGGTATATTAGTTCTGGTAATGTTTTATTTGAGTTCAGGCTGTAGCTCAGTCAGTTAGGACCTTTCGAATCTTGATGTTTTTTCTTAGTTACACCGTGGTTTTACTCTCGTCATGAATATCGCAGCTTTTGTCGTTATTCCAGGCGACCTTTGCCAAAACAGGACAGTAACATATATTCTCTCAATTTTCTCAGTATTTTGCAATATTTACTTTGTATAAGGCAGTTAGTTTTGGTACTTTCATAAATCAATATAATACAAAGGTAGCAATACCAAATCACTAAAAGGAATAACAATAGATTTTCAGGCCTATAATTTGTGTGTATCAGGGGCAACCACAGTGTTTTAATGCACCATACCGATTTACAACCTGTAAATTTCTGTAGATCCATGATTTTTGACCAGATAATGATATCGTAGGAACTATTCAAGACAAATGTCATTAGTTATAACGTTAATTTTTTAAGTAACTTGAGATGTGGAACGAGAAATGGGAGTATTACAAAGAATTGAAGTGTTCACAATACAAAAACAAAAGCCAGAAAAACATCTTTTTAATTGGTGACAGACCGATTTAAACATATATTTTCTTTTTTTTTTACACTTTCTCCTTAATTCTATTAAGAAACAAAAGAAAATGTTGCGCAAGGCAACAACCCACGCCGGACAGCGTTTATTTTTGTATTCTTTTATAATTCACTTTCTTTTTTTAAGTCCTGTCTTCAAAAATGACATTCGGTGTAGTCCGATTTTCAAACCGGTGTTCACCGTATTGTTTAGTTAGTTCTGCTTTTAGACTATAATTTAATTTAGATAAATAAGCATTTCAAGATATACCAAATAAATCGGCACACACATCAACGAGTTTGATTAGTATATAAGATAAATATACTAACACTATCAAATGTGGTAATAACAATAATTGCTACACGGTGTTATTATTCAAAATACAGACACTTGATGTATTGAGCTACTTTAACAGTAGTGTATCTATTTCGCCCTACACTTGATGTATTGAGCACTATTTTACCATTGGTATTTCTATATTGCTCTAGATTGATGTATTGAGCACTATTTTTACAGTAGTATTTCTATATCGCTCTACAGTTGATGTATTGAACACTATTTTAACAGTAATATTTCTATAATACTCTACAATTGATGTATTGAGCACTATTTTACCATTGGTATTTCTATATTGCTCTAGATTGATGTATTGAGCACTATTTTAACAGTGGTATTTCTATATCACTCTACAATTGATGTTTTGAGTACTATTTTAACAGTGGTATTTCTATATTGCTCTACAGTTGATATATTGAGTACTATTTTAGCAGTGGTATTTTTAAATCGCTCTACAGTAGTTGATGTATTGAGTACTATTTTAGCAGTGGTATTTCTATATCGCTCTACAATTGATGTTTTGAGTACTATTTTAACAGTGATATTTCTATATTGCTCTACAGTTGATGTATTGAGTACTATTTTAGCAGTGGTATTTCTATATCGCTCTACAGTTGATGTATTGAGTACTATTTGAACAGTGGTATTTCTATATCGCTCTACAGTTGATGTATTGAGTACTATTTGAACAGTGGTATTTCTATATTGCTCTACAGTTGCTCTACAGTTGATGTATTGAGTACTATTTGAACAGTGGTATTTCTATATTGCTCTACAGTTGCTCTACAGTTGATGTATTGAGCACTATTTTAACAGTGGTATTTCTATATCTCTTTACAATTGATGTATTGAACACTATTTTAACAGTGATATTTCTATATCTCTCTACATTTGATGTTTTGAACACTATTTTAACAGTGATATTTCTATATCTCTCTACAAATGATGTATTGAGTACTATTTTAACAGTGGTATTTCTATATAGCTCTACAATTGATGTATTGAACACTATTTTAACAGTGGTATTTCTATATCACTCTACAATTGATGTATTGAGCACTATTTTAACAGTGGTATTTCTATATCACTCTACAATTGATGTATTGAGCACTATTTTAACAGTGATATTTCTATATCACTCTACAATTGATGTATTGAGTACTATTTTAACAGTGGTATTTCTATATAGCTCTACAATTGATGTATTGAGCACTATTTTAACAGTGGTATTTCTATATAGCTCTACAATTGATGTATTGAGCACTATTTTAACAGTGGTATTTCTATATCACTCTACAATTGATGTATTGAGCACTATTTTAACAGTGATATTTCTATATCACTCTACAATTGATGTATTGAACAATATTGTGTACTTTTAGATCTACAATTAAAATAAATCTAAACACTCGAGTTTTCAAAATAGGACAAAAACAATTGTAAAGTGACGAGTTCAGACGTTAACACGATATAACATATTCTATTTCATACAAATTCATTTGACACTAAAATAAAATTAAAAATCTAATTTGACAAAAAAAAAAATTAATTGTAATTCTGAAACATCATAAGGTTGTAAGAAAAGAAGATAACAAACCCGTATTCAAAATAAATAAGACGCTATTTTTTCATTAGATCGGATTACTTTGAGGTTTTCTTTTTCAAATTTCAGTTTCGACAGCTTTTCTTTTTTAGGTGATATTTAATACTATTGCGAAGACTTTCAAAAGAAGAAATAAGACTGGAAGAGAGAAATATTAGATTCCTGTACACAAATCTGAAATAGATATGTCACAAAAAATACACTGACATCAAGTAACATTATAGTGTATGTGATCGGATTCACGTGTCATGTGGGTCTTCAAATACGTAGTAGTAACATTTCTACTGAGCTGGTGGATTGCGGGTTTGGTAGAGGGCCACTTTTAAATACATAGTACAAGAATTGCCTGCAAGTCCCCTTCCCCCTACCACCAACCTGTGGAACCTCCTCTGTTCCCTCACCTAATGCTTCATAGAAACGCCACTGATAAGTATACCTGTAATTTGTATATGTAATTAACGAATGGGATATATTATTGTCATCAACATCGTCATTTTGTAGTAAAGTATATTATCAATATAATTTATATTTCTAATATACTCAGTATCAATGGAATATACTTCTATCAATATGATCGTTTTAGTTGTGGGTTACATTAACAACATCATCTGACCTCATCGTGAGTAATCAACATCATTTTTATGTTCCTAGTAACACAACAGGGTATAGTGGGTTTTTAAAAATCATGACTATTACCATCATCATCGTCATTTTAAGAAAGCCATCTTGAGTAATCATCATCATCATCATCATCATTATTGGAAAGCCATCTTGAATAATCATCATCATCACCATCATCATTTTTGGAAAGCCATCTTGAATAATCATCATCATCACCCTCATCATTTTTGGAAAGCCATCTTGAATAATCATCATCATCACCCTCATCATTTTTGGAAAGCCATCTTGAATAATCATCATCATCACCATCATCATTTTTGGAAAGCCATCTTGAATAATCATCATCATCACCATCATCTTTTTTGGAAAGCCATCTTTAATAATCATCATCATCATCATCGTCATTTTAAGAAAGCCATCTTGAGTAATCATCATCATCATCATCATCATTATTGGAAAGCCATCTTGAATAATCATCATCATCACCATCATCATTTTTGGAAAGCCATCTTGAATAATCATCATCATCAACATCATCATTTTTGGAAAGCCATCTTTAATAATCATCATCATCATCATCGTCATTTTAAGAAAGCCATCTTGAGTAATCATCATCATCATCATCATTATTATTGGAAAGCCATCTTGAATAATCATCATCATCACCATCATCATTTTTGGAAAGCCATCTTGAATAATCATCATCATCATTTTTGGAAAGCCATCTTTAATAATCATCATCATCATCATCGTCATTTTAAGAAAGCCATCTTGAGTAATCATCATCATCATCATCATTATTATTGGAAAGCCATCTTGAATAATAATCATCATCATCACCATCATCATTTTTGGAAAGCCATCTTGAATAATCATCATCATCACCATCATCATTTTTGGAAAGCCATCTTTAATAATCATCATCATCACCCTCATCATTTTTGGAAAGCCATCTTGAGTAATCACCATCATCATCATCATCATCATTTTAGGAAAGCCAGTAAGTAATAATTAACACCATTGTTTGTGTTATTTCAAAGACAAAAGGGTAGAGTAGGTCTTTCAAAAATCAGCATCAACAATTTTGTGTTAATGAAAAGCCATCCGGAAAAGCCATCGTGAGTATTCATCATCATCAACATCATTGTGTTACTTACTTACTTTGGGTCCGAATCATTATCCTTAAAGCAAGAAATCATCATTATCAAGAAAGGTTTACTACTACAAATCATCATCCCTAAAACAACAAATCCGAATCATCATTCTCAATCTGTCAACGAGATTCAACAATAATTTGAAGGACTTTAAGCAACTAAACAATGTTAATCTGTACACGTGTATCAACCTATGTCGCAAAATGGTTTGAAAAGTCTAATATAAAGTAATAAAATTAAAAACTTGTCTTCGGTTTCGCTGGCGACATGAAAAGACGAAATGAAAATGTGATGAAATTTGTGTATAAAAGTGATTAGACTTGGTCATTTGTAAACATTGAAAATACTTTCCTTATACTTGACTTGATTAGAAAACTCTAATAATGTTTTCTTTTAGCTTGATTAGACTTGCATAAGAAAAGAAGTGTCATCTTCAAATAGAAGACGAAACATTTAAAAACAATTTTGCCGAGAAAAAATACGAGAATTTTTTTTACGCAATGTAGATTATTTTTTTCATTAGACCAGTTTTCATTTCCTACCAAGTTCGTCACTTTTAGTAATGAATTTGTTGTCAGTAGGTTCAAGAATTTAATTAAAAGTCGTATGTTTCCGACAAGTTGTCGAAGGTTATTTTACCTGAAGTCATTATCTGTATAAAATTTCATCAACTAAAAAGCATTAAAGTGTACAGCGATGACACGTAGATACGACCCTCCTGTGTGTTCCCCATGGCTAAACAACCAGATTTAAAAGATTGTTCTAGCCTACAGGGGAAAAAATTTTCAATAAAATAAAAATTATAAAAAAATTGAAAAAAATAAACTGTAGGTCAAATTGCACGAAGAGTTTGATTATTTTGATATCTATATAAAAAATATATAGTTCCTAATTTTGTATAATTTGCAATACTTTTATAAAATCCATAATATACTATAGCACAAATCTCTAGGAAAAGAGATAAAAATTTGAAGCAATGAAATAACTCCCAATTAATAAAGTCAAATTAATTTCGAAGTTTTTAACTTGATATCATGTATAAAAGTACATTTCCAATATCGTACAATCTATTTTGATATAATGTATAGAAATACATCTCGAATATTATACAATGTATTTTGATATAATGTATAGAAGTACATCTCGAATATTATACAATGTATTTTGATATAATGTATAGAAATACATCTCGAATTTCATACAATGTATTTTGACATAATGTATAGAAATACATCTCCAATATCGTACAATGTATTTTGACATAATGTATAGAAATACATCTCGAATATCATACAATGTATTTTGATATAATGTATAGAAGTACATCTCAAATTTCATACAATGTATTTTGATATAATGTATAGAAGTACATCTCGAATATTATACAATGTATTTTGATATAATGTATAGAAATACATCTCGAATTTCATACAATGTATTTTGACATAATGTATAGAAATACATTTCCAATATCGTACAATGTATTTTGATATAATGTATAGAAATACATCTCGAATATCATACAATCTATTTTGATATAATGTATAGAAATACATCTCGAATATCGTACAATCTATTTTGATATAATGTATAGAAATACATCTCGAATTTCATACAATGTATTTTGACATAATGTATAGAAATACATCTCCAATATCGTACAATGTATTTTGACATAATGTATAGAAATACATCTCGAATATCATACAATGTATTTTGATATAATGTATAGAAGTACATCTCAAATTTCATACAATGTATTTTGATATAATGTATAGAAATACATCTCGAATATTATTCAATGTATTTTGATATAATGTATAGAAATACATCTCAAATTTCATACAATGTATTTTGATATATGTATAGAAGTACATCTCGAATTTCATACAATGTATTTTGATATAATGTATAGAAATACATCTCGAATATTATACAATGTATTTTGATATAATGTATAGAAGTACATCTCGAATTTCATACAATGTATTTTGATATAATGTATAGAAGTACATCTCAAATTTCATACAATGTATTTTGATATAATGTATAGAAATACATCTCGAATATTATTCAATGTATTTTGATATAATGTATAGAAGTACATCTCGAATATTATACAATGTATTTTGATATAATGTATAGAAATACATCTCGAATATCATACAATGTATTTTGAAATAATGCATAGAAATACATCTCGAATATTATACAATGTATTTTGATATAATGTATAGAAATACATCTCGAATATTATACAATGTATTTTGATATAATGTATAGAAATACATCTCGAATATCATACAATGTATTTTGAAATAATGCATAGAAATACATCTCGAATATTATACAATGTATTTTGATATAATGTATAGAAATACATCTCGAATATTATACAATGTATTTTGATATAATGTATAGAAATACATCTCGAATATTATACAATGTATTTTGATATAATGTATAGAAGTACATCTCGAATATTATACAATGTATTTTGATATAATGTATAGAAGTACATCTCGAATATTATACAATGTATTTTGATATAATGTATAGAAATACAGATCTAATGTTACATAATATATTTTGATATTATGTATAATAGTACATCTCTAATATTATACGTAAAAATGATTTTGTTATACGCCAGCATTCTTATGTGGACTTATATTGCCGTCACGTCTATCCGTCTGACTGTCAGTAAAGATCACAGTTTTGTCTGCTTATGATTTGGTCTGTAAGTTTATATCAATAAGATTGTAATAAGCTGATTTGAATACAATTGTTTTATTCATATTTATGTCAATACATAATACATCTAGATTCATTGACTTTTGAATCCCTTTTCAATGTTTCATAATATTTCTTACTTTCCACTCATACTTCCCAAGTTCCATAACTCTTTAGTTGACCGTATAGCCAGAATACTTCCCAAGCACATGCTGCAGTGTTGCCAGATTACAGAATATAAAGGGATAATGCCATAAAGATCTTGGAGAAGTTCGAATTTGGGTACGTTTTGACAAATATTGAGTTTCAACACTTTCAACACACTGAAATGATAATCTGAAAATATGTTTAAAACGGCTTTTGAAAGTGATAGAAACAATATGGTGTAGGTTTATATATTGCATAAGTTCTATGTTTGAAACGATTCGTCAAGTATTCATGGAGTTTCAACCCTAGATATACAGACAATTAGTGGGGTAAGTAGGCCTGTCCTGCTCCGCAGGAGTATTTATGCCTATTAATATATCTAAGACATTCTCTACCATATGGTCGTCGAAAAGATAAATAAGTGATATAAATAATGAAACAACGAGTGAAATGATAATACATAACCTTAATACCCGATATGACGAAGTTGGTACATCTATCAGAATTATATCGATATTGTTGAACAACTCAGAAAATATTAAATTTTTTTAGAAACGTGTAAGTATACGATTGCCGTATACTGTAATTGTAGATCTTGAAAGTGCACTGTCCTAAATAGTTATCAGTAATGAATAACAAAACTTAAATGACTAAAGATATAAAAAAAATATCTTTAAAATATGACTTCATAATGTGACGATTCTGGATTCATTGATAAGTAAAATGGGAAAAGAGAAGAATATAGAAAATGATTTATGAGCGATCTTGGCAAGGATATAATACAAAAAAGAATCGGTAATGTCTGGCTGTAAGGGTATTAATGATTCATCAAACGTTATAACAGAATACTTTTACATATGAATACCATGTTCTTACGACTGGAATACCTTCCTGAAAGACTGGAATTCACCAGAGACTGTTGTTCACATCTATGGATTCAATGTCCGTTTTGGTAAAACCACAAAGCAGATCATTCTAATGCTATTGATTTCCTTGGGATTTTTGTATTTTTTGTATAACTTCGGAGAACCAAAATCGGAAAACGCATTCTCAAAGCAGTTTATTCTAAATATTCTACATGACACATAATTAGACATCCTTGAATATTAACTTTTATATTATATCGATCAAATTTAGTGTTTCAACATACCAGATATTTGTTAGTTTTATTGTATTTAAATAATGAAAAAAAAACTCAAATGAAGCAGGTCTCTGAAGAGATAGGACTAGAAGGTACATGACAATTTTAAACTCTGCCATACCAACTTAGTACAAAGCTCCCTAAAAGAGTGGGAATAAGCTCAAGATTATTGAAGTAAGTACGGAAATTCTATGAAAATTGGGAGTATTAGAGTTCAGCATATGCCCGGCTATATCTTTTAGAGTATTGCAATATGTGCCCTTCACATAGTAAGGCGTTGGCCATTTTCACCGTGGGACAATGTATGTATGTTTAATGCTGTGTTTATAACTTTGTTCATAATTTGTAGGGACATATTGAAAATTAGACTTTTGTCTAAATGGGTCGCCACATTTAAGTTATTATTATTTTTAGAAATTAAAGTAATTTTTCATTATAAAATAAAATTATTATTATTATTATAAAATAAAATTATTATTATTGTTATAATTGAATAAAGTTATCATTATAATTATTATTATAAAATAGAGTTACTATTATTATAAAATAAAGTTATTATTATTATTATAAAATAAAGTTATAAGTATTATAAAATAAAGTTATTAGTATTTATTAGTATTATAAAATAAAGTTATAAAATAAAGTTATTATTATTATAAAATAAGGTTATTAGTATTATGAAATAAAGTTATAAAATAAAGTTATTATTATTATAAAATAAAGGATTTATTATTATAAGATAAAGTTATTAGTATTATAAAATAAAGTTATTATCTTTATAAAATAAAGTTATTATAAAATAAAGTTATTAGTATTATAAAATAAAGTTATTA